TACTTTTTTAGGGGGTTCAGCTGCATTGGCTGTAAATCTGCTTTATTGTATGCAAGATTGAATTGCAATTGTCCTGCATCCTGTATTTTAGCTCAACATAAAGTAAACTAGAATGTGCCGTAATTCTCCACTGAGTTCAGCACAGGTGATTATTTCACACTGAGATGTAATAAGCCAGTAAACAAGTGCAGTTCTCTCTGGTTTTGGAGACCGTTTCTCGGCGTTTTGTCTGTGGATTATGTTGTAAAGGATGAAATGCATTTGTTCAGGTCTTGTCGTCAGTCTCCGGTTGCTATAGCAATGGCTGAATGTGATGCCAGGAGTCTGCGAGAACTCATGGTGGAAAACTGGGAATTTTGCCTTTTAATGTGGAAACTGGCCATGTTACTGCACTCATGAGGCAGATCAGGAAACATTAGAGAGGGATGCATGACATGGATATGATCTGCACTCAGACTCAGTCGCTTGTTCACTCATTAATAATGCATTTCTTTTCACATGCAATTTTGTTTCAATACAATTTCATTCAAGATTAATTTGAGATGTAAGCAAAACTTTAAGTATTCAGGTGAATTCAATTCAACATTACACTGTAACAGATCCTGGGTTCCACACAATCGATTTGTGCTAGGGCAACATGAAGGACATTTGAAGGACTTTTTGAAGGACTTTTGAAGAATTTTTTATTTTTATTTTTTTTTTTACAAATTTAAGTGTATTAAACATAAATAAATTAAGTTGTCCCCCCAAAAAACTCAATAATAGTATTGTTTAGCTCATTTTTAAATAAGTTGTTTAAACAAATAGCAAATGTGATTTTTTGTGTACTTTTATGCTTTTCTTGTGCACTTGTAACTTTGTAATTTTAAGATGATAAACACATTCATAATTCCTGAGTTTGAGCTGAATTGTATTGTATTGTGATGTTTCTAATAAGATTAAAAAAAAAGATTTTTTAATCCAGAATCTACAGTTGAAGTCAGAATTATTAGCCCCCTGGATTATTTGCCCCCTGGATTATTTTTCCCCCAATTTCTGGTTAACGGAGAGAAGATTTATTTAAACACATTTATAACCATAATAGTTTTAATAACTCATCTCTAATAACTGATTTATTTTATCTTTGCCATGATGACAGTAAATAATATAAAAAGACACTTCTATACAGCTTTAGGTGACATTTAAAGGCTTAACTAGGTTAATTAGGTTAACTAGGCAGGTTAGGGTAATCAGGCATGTTGTATAATGATGGTTTGTTCTGTGGACTATCGAAAAAATATACAGCTAAAAGGGGCTAATAATTTTGACCTTAAAATGTTGTTTAAAAAATAAAAACTGATAGTATTCTAGCCGAAATAAAACAAATAAAACTTTCCCCAAAAGAAAAACAATATTATCAGACATACTATAAAAACTTCCTTGCCCTGTTAAACATCATTTAGGACATTTTTAAAAAAGAAAAAAAAAATATAATCAAAGGGGGCAAATAATTCTGACTTCAACTGTATATTGAAGAAAACTGAAAACCATGCACTTCCATAATAGAAAAAAATAAATAAAAAATAGAAGCCGATGGCTAGAGGTTTCCAACATTCTTCAAAATATCTCTTTTGTGTTAGAATATAAGTTTTTTTGGATGAACTATTTCTTTATTAACTGTGCACTGTGATTGACCAAACTCAATTTCTACGATCCTACAGTTGCCGTCAAAATGATTCGTCCTCCTGTGTTTGTTTTTGTTTTTTTATATTTTAAATATTTCTCAAATTATGTTCAACAGTTCAACACAGTATTTCCTATGATATTTTGTCTTTGGAGAAAGTTTTATTTGTTTTATTTCGGCTAGAATAAAAGCAGTTCTTAAAAACATTTATATATATCTTTTTTTAAGGTCAATAATATTAGCCCCTTAAGCAATATTTGTTTTTGATCGTCTAGAACAGAACAAACCGCTGTTATACAACGACTTGCCTAATTACCTTAAGTTGACTAATTAAACAAATTTTAAATGTCACTTTTAGCTGAATACTAGTATATTGAAAAAATCTAGTCAAGTATTATTTACTGTCATCATGGCAAGGATAAAATAAATTAGTTATTAGAGAGGAGTTATTAAAACTATTATGTGCAGAAATGTGTTGGAAAAAATCTCTGCATTAAACAGAAATTGGGGAAAAATATTTACAGAGGTGCTAATAATTCAGAATTCATTTGCTAACTGTGTGACTCTGTGTGTGTTGTTCAGATTCACTCGGACTCAGATGAAGGCGACGGCTCCATCAAATACACCATCTCTGGAGAAGGAGCGGGCAGCATCTTCATCATAGACGAGGTGACGGGCGACATCCACGCCACCGAGAGGCTGGACCGCGAGGAGAAAACCTTCTACACGCTACGAGCTCAAGCGCGAGACCGGCAGACGGACGAGCCTCTCGAACCCGAGTCCGAGTTCGTCATTAAAGTGCAGGACATTAATGACAGTGAGCCCAAGTTTCTAGAGGGACCGTACATCGGCAGCGTGGCGGAGCTCTCCCCTGTCGGTAAGACAACACATATTGTATCTCAAACCGCTCTGGGGAAATACCATATAATCTAATATACACTATATGTATAATATAGAGTACTATAGTACTCAGTCCTTCCAGGATTTTGCAAGACTTATTTCTGACTTTTGCAGCCTAAAATGACTGATTTTATTGCACCTTTTCTTAAAACCTATTAAGAACTCTGGCAGCTGCATTTTGTACCAAGGTTATAATAGTTTTGGATTTTTCATTAGTTTTAGTTTCTATTTCATTTTGAATTTTTGCTTTCAAATTCAGTTAATTTAATTAGTTTTAGAGGCAGATTTACTTGTTTTTATTAGTTTCTATATTTTGAAATGTCTTAGTTTTAGTTTAGTTTTTATTAGTTTCTTTATTTTGAAATGTCTTAGTTTTAGTTTAGTTTTTATTAGTTTCTATATTTTGAAATGTCTTAGTTTTAGTTTAGTTTTTATTAGTTTCTATATTTTGAATTGTCTTAGTTTTAGTTTAGTTTTTGTTAGTTTCTATATTTTAAATTTTCTTAGTTTTAGTTTAGTTTTTATTAGTTTCTATATTTTAAATTTTCTTAGTTTTAGTTTAGTTTTTGTTAGTTTCTATATTTTAAATTGTCTTAGTTTTAGTTTAGTTTTTATTAGTTTCTATATTTTGAAATGTTTTAGTTTTAGTTTAGTTTTTATTAGTTTCTATATTTTGAATTGTCTTAGTTTTAGTTTAGTTTTTATTAGTTTCTTTATTTTAAATTTTCTCAGTTTTAGTTTAGTTTTTATTAGTTTCTATATTTTGAATTGTCTTAGTTTTAGTTTAGTTTTATTAGTTTCTATATTTTACATTTTCTTAGTTTTAGTTTAGTTTTTATTAGTTTCTATATTTTGAATTGTCTTAGTTTTAGTTTAGTTTTTATTAGTTTCAGTACAACAAGGGTATTTGTTAGGTGCAAGATTCAAAATCAACAGGAAAATTATTGTATAATAAAAACAAATACCTAACATACATTTTTTGAAACATGTATACTGAGAGGACACTTGAACACTATCATCTACCAACACCATCTACCCATCCTCAAACTCATATACAGCAGCCCACAAGATAGCAGCCTTAAGTACAATATGTGTGCAAGGCTGCTTCTGAGGTTAGACACACAGTACTGATGAGAAAACCTTACTGTTAAGGTAAGCTGGCTGTGTGCACGCGAGCGATACACTTATTTAAATGTCTTATGACAATACTATGTAGGCACATTTATGCATACAGTTGCATACAGTTATGCATACATGCATACAGAAACTTTTACAACCGTAAAGCAAACTAGATGTATTTCCCATGTAAAAACAATCCAAAATGAATGTAGGTCTATGTGTTTTTATGTATTTATTATATTACAATATATACTGTAGCGTGTATTGTAATATAATAAACAGAGATTAACTCTTTGTCATGGAGCATATTTCTAAAAATAAGCTAGAAAAGTTGCCTGTAGTAAGGTGGTGCCTACGTCACAGGCGAGCGCCCCGAAGGCTCTGTAGTCCGTTTATAAATTTTCAGTTCTTGCGTTTGCATTTATGATGTAAAAGTGCTTAAAGTTGTATTTTGGTGTGAGGAGTATGCGGCTGGACAAAACTTAATGGTAATGAACAGTGTTTGAACACAGAGTTTATTATTTGCAATCTTCGAAAAGCCTATGGGAATATCCTATTTGGATTTGTCGAGGGAACCGATTTTATGCTAGCAGCCGATTAGTCTACAAGGTGACGTCATAGTTTCTCCATTCTATTATATTTACTTCTAAACGGCTCACAGCAAGATTATGTATTAAATACATTTACAAATACGAAAACGAAGGAAGTTTTAGCTATAATTTGAGTTAGTTTCAGTTAGTTTTGTATGTACATGATACAGTTTCAGTTAGTTCCAGTTTTTTTTTTTTTAACTCTTGTATTTATTTTTATTTTAGTTAACGGCAATTATTTTACATTTTAGTTTTTGTTTTTTCGTTCGTTTTGTTAACTATAATAACCTTTTTTTTGTACTAGCTGAAGTTTGTTAATAGAGGAAACAGAGCATTACAGTAATCCAGCCTAGAAGTCATAAAAGCATGAACTAGCCCTGCTGAAAAATCCAGCTTAAACTAGCCTTGGCTGGTTGGCTGGTTTTAGCTGGTCGACCAGGCTGGTTTTAGAGGGGTTTTGACCATTTCCAGGCTGGTTTCCAGCCATTTCCAACCTGGTCTTAGCTGGTCAGGCTGGAAAATGACCAGCTAAATCCAGCTAAAACCAGCTTGACAAGCCTGGTTTAAGCTGGACATAGCTGGTTTTGGCTGGGCTCCCAGCCTGTCTAGGCTAGTCAAGCTGGTTTTAGCTGGTAATCTCCCAGCCTGACCAGCTAAGACCAGGCTGGAAATGGCTGGAAACCAGCCTGGAAATGGCCAAAACCCCTCTAAAACCAGCCTGGTGGACCAGCTAAAACCAGCTAAAACCAGCTTGACCAGCCTAGGCTGGTCTAAGCTGTTTTTTTTCAGTAGGGAGCTGAGATGGATAGCATACAGTACTTCGTAACTTAGCAATATTCCTCAGATATTTACTATGGGAGTACGTCAGACCATAGTCTGTTATCAGACACATGTTGGAGTTCCCTTATAAAGGGGAAATTCATTTTTAAAATGGGCTGTACTCATTTTGTGCTGAGCACTGTGTACTTCAGCTTCAAGCATGATCAGTCTCAAAGTTTAGTGTAAGCATAAAGTTTAGTCAATATAGTTTTTGTCATTTTTAATATATAGTTTATAGCTGTAGTTTAGTCTTGTTTTGGCAACAAGCTGAAATATTATATATATTTTTTTATATCTGTTCATATTGTTTGTGATTGTTACCCAAGATCCACAGGAGAGCAGTTTTCTTTTCAATTACCTTCATGGCAGAACAGCATTTCCCATTTCCCCCCCAAAGTATTCTAGCGTACTGTAACAGAAACACCATACTAGGACCATTGAATGAATATGGTTTTGCCATTAGTCACAGTATTGGTATTGTCTTCGGTGTGCTGCAGGCTTTTGTCTCAGCTCCAGCTCTTGTGTTGGTGTTTGTGGATATAACAGCTTTTAAATGCAGGTTAGAATAATGTAATCAGTGCAGCGCCGCACGCCCGTGAACTTCCTGATTGAAATTAATTCCTGCTTCCTCAGCACATCAGCGGTGCAGCGCAGCGTTTATTGACACACAGTCCTGCAGCCTCAACCCTTCACTCACATTACACATTACTTCATGTTTTATACATTGAACAGCGGCGGCTGTAATGAAATAACAGCTCTGCTTAGTCCAGCACTTCCTTCTGTGTTCAGCTGCTGGTTATGGTGCAGCGCTAACACTCTAATCCAGAGGAGGAGGAGGGCACACACTCTTCATTCAACATCACACACACACACACACTGCTCAACTCCAAACCTGCGGCTCACTAGTAAAGTTCACAATGAACAAGAGCCTTCAAGATGCAACACCAAACCTGACAGAGACCTGATAGCAATATGCTAATATTATAATAGGCTACCAGTATGTTTACCTATACTAGAAACATGCTTTTATCATGCTAATTCACACTATTAAACTGCAACAGGCTAACATTGTTAATAAAATAGTAAAACATATGCTAGCAGCGTGTTCATCATTGTCAAAATGATGGTGTTTATGCTAGAAACATGCTAAAAAACTATAATTTCTGCTAACAAACATGCTAATTCACGCCAGTATGTTGACCGGTAATGTTTGTAACATGCTAACTCACATTATCAAACTGCACCATGCTAACATTATGGTAATAAAATAGTACAAAATATGCTAGCAGCGTGTTCATCATTGTTAAAATGATGATGTCCATGCTAGAAACATGTTAAAAAAACTATAATTTCTGCTAACAAACATGCTAATTCACACCAGTATGTTGACCAGTAATGCTTGAAACTTGCTAATCCATATTATCAAACTGCAACCTGCTAGTATTGTGTTAATAAAATAGTACAAAATATGCTAGCAGCGTGTTCTTCATTGTTAAAATGATGGTGTCCATGCTAGAAACATGCTAAAAAACAGTTAATTCCTGCTAATGTGACCCCGGCGGTCCTACGCCACCCAACCCGCTCCGAGCTGGGATCAAACCGGCGACCTTCCACATGGGAGTTGGTTGCTCTAACAAGGAGTCTAAAGACCATGACCTCTAGCATCTGTCGCTAGAGTACCTTTAGATGGCAGAGGAGTGAGGTTTACCTTCACAGCACTTACTAGCTGGCCTCCGTTACACTAACAAACATGCTAATTCATGCCAGTATGTTGACCAGTAATGTTTGTAATGCTAATCCACATTATCAAACTGCAACATGCTAACATTATGGTAATAAAATAATACAACATATGCTAGCAGCATGTTCATCATTCCTAAAACATGGTTTCCATGCTAAAAACATGCTAGAAAACTATTAATTCCTGCTAACAAACATGTTAATTCATGCTACCAGTATGTTGCTACTAGAAACATGCTTGCAACCTGCTAATCCACACTTTCAAACTGCAACATGTTACCCTTGTGTTAATAGAAACATGCTAGCAGTATGTTAATAATTGTTAAAACTATGGCTATAATGACATGCTACATTTATATTAACAAGCTGTTCGAAACATGCTAGTTATATGTTAATTGTTGCATTTATGGTGTCCATGCAAGAAACATGCTACAAAACTTTTCAGTCCTGCTATCAACATGCTGATTTATGCTACCAGTATATTGACCTATGTTTGCAACATGCTAATCCACACTATCAAAATGGATATGCTAACATTATGATAATAAAATAGTAAAAAATTTGCTAATAGCATGTTCATTGTTAAAAGTCTGGTGTCCATGCTAGAAACATGTTAGAAAACTATTAATTTCTGTTAGCAAATATGCTAGTTTATGCTACCAGTATGTTGTAAAAATGCTTGTAACATGCTAATACACACTATTAAACT